AAGAACTTTATTTCCTTAACATGCAGCATTTGTGCAGGGTTAGTAGAAAGTAAAGGAAGAAGTAAGAACGAAACTTACCGTGTCGGCCAGCTTAAATGTACTACCCTCAGTCTTGTCTCTTCTGCTGCTTGGATGAGGTGAACTGTTCCCACCATTACATACAGATTCTGGGCTGGGGACTGAAGATACTTGTCCAAGGGCTGCAAATTTTGCTTCTTTTTTATTAGAGATCAAGTAATTAATGTCTTTGCTGAGGAATTCTTCAACTTTCTAATTGAAAAAAAGAGAAGAAAAATGTAATTTTGGAATGGGAACACTATAGATTATACTCAACATAGCTTTAAGGTATCTAATATTCCCCTTCACAAATATTTGAGAAATACTGCTTACTTCACAGAATCTCCAATTCTCATTCATTGACTATAAGCAGCTAGATTGGGAGAAGGATTATGTTAGGATAACATGGCTATACAAAAAGAGTATTTCAAATCACAAATGTTTCAAAAATTAATGTAGATCATGCAATATAGTTAATATAACATATCACAAATATATTTATAATATGCAGGTAATCCTTGACTTATGACCGAAACTGGGACTAGAATTCCTATCATTAAACAATGCTGTTGTAAAGAGCAACATTGCATTATACATTCTGTTGTCATTAATCATGAATCACGAATAATTAAGTACCTATCCCAATCCAAGCCATTCTGGTAAAAATAAGGGAATTCCTCCTCCTCCCACCCACCTATCTTCATCATATCTCTGACTCTCCCCCCCCCCCAACCTTTCTTACAGAGCAGCAAGCAGTCCCCAAACTACATTTCTAGGCAGCTACTTGTCATGCCACTGCTCTGGGACTTCTTGGTATGCCATGGCTCTCGGGTTCTAAGAAAACTCTGAGCCACACCATGGCACAAAGCCATCACCCTGGGAAGCCGAAGCAGCATGGCATGAAGCAATTGCCATCAGTGTGGTGCAAAGCCACAGCCCAGCATCATAGTACACAGCACTGCTCCAGGAGGTCCCAGCAATGCAACGCAAAGCCTCTGCCCCAGCTGCCCTCAACTCTGAATAAAATAATTTGATAGAAAATTTTGGAGAAATGGCCATTTTTTATTAAAAAAAAAAACCCCTAATCATGTAGCATTAAATGTAGCTGAAAGGCAGGCTGTAGAGAGAAAAAAGCTAGGAATTTGGACTTAGCAAGAATATAATATACTCAAACTGAATCTGCATTATTCCTTTTCTATCATAAAGTAAAACATACAAATTGACTTACCCCTCCTAGTTCCTTAAGATCTTTTGCAATTTTCTCAGAGAGGGTGTTAGATGGAATATCAAGATAGAACACTTTCCCAGTAAGTGGTTTGCATTTTAGTTTATCGGGCTTTGTAGAATCTTTCTTTACACTTTTCAGGGGAGGGTTGCTTCTTTCTCTTCTTTCTTGCATATCACCTGCAATTAAAATAATGAATGTAATCCTTATCAGAAACTTATCTGTTTAATCCTTAAATTGTTTTGGAGCAAAAGAGGATTATTGAAAAGCATATATAGGTATTTGGGCCTTGATATTTGAGGTATCAAGACTAGGAAGGAATATTAGGTATGTTTGCCGCCTTGAGTTACAAATAAATAATATACAAATAATAAATTTCCCCTTCTATCACCTCTCCCAAATATTGTCCATGGTAGATCTGCACAATGCAGACTGGAAATAGAGGTTGGCTAAAGAGGGTTTGGACACAGCTGCTTTTCAGAAGGGCCAGGACATACTGTAGCACCACAGCACTAAGAAAAGCAGAAGAGAAACAAGTTGCTTGACATCTTTCTCTGCAATGACTATCGTAAAAACTTTGTATTCCAGCACACAGCACCCAAACTACAACACACTACCACACAGTCAACCACCCTGCAAAATCTAATTCTACCATACATAAAGAGAGTGTTGGAAACGACAGTCAGAATTCTTCTAGTAATAACAATAGTGCACAAACTAACAGGCACACTCCTCCAGGAATTATCCAGAACCAAAGACAAGATTCAGAAGGATGAAAGAAACAATGTAATTTATAAAATCAACTGTAACAATTGCAAACAATTCTACATGGGACAAACATTACATAAATTGAAAACCATAATCCATGAATACCAGCTCAGTCAATTGCCATGATCCCAAATCCCACAATGAAACTGAACAGCACCAATTCAATTGGAGCAATACAAGAATCATTGGCTGCCATGCATGAGAGTTTATCAAAGCCTGGCATTCCACAAACAATTTCATAAACTGACACATCAAACTACAACCAGCTTATGAATCCCTGAGAATTCAAATTAACTGCACAACCAACCAGCGATAACACCGACCCTCAACCAACCCACACAACTCCACAACCCACCAGCACTTTACCTCCCAAAGATCCTCACCTAATGGAAATCCCCATCACAAGACCATGGCTTTTACGTGACCCATACCTAACCCCTCACAAGACCCTCACCTGATATGACTATCCCATCTCAAGTCCTACTGGCCACATGAAACCCTTATAAGCAGAACAACACTTGACATTCCCTAAATTCCACTTAAGATGTTACCTACCCTGATAATGAAACATTTAGAAACCAACCCACAAGCTTGGAGAACGAACCTTCAACCTCATCCTATATCTGAGCTACAGATATTCATCACTATCGTAAACTAATTAAGCTAAAAGAGAACTGATTTGTTCAAGAATCTAACCAAATCAGAAAATGACTTTTGATTTTTTTTTCAGTTGCCTCCAAAATCCTCTCTTTACTCTGAGAATTTGTCTGTTTTATCCTCCTCCCATTGGTATCAAAGTTCCCCACTTCTTTCCTGGGCCAGGCTAGCCCCATTTTTTCCAGTTTCTTACCACATTCAAGTTTCTAATATTTCATATATTTTGCTTCCTGAAAAGAACTTAGTGATCTAAAAACTTTGAGAACAGTTGAGATCTTATTTTTCTTATTAATATTTAATTAGAATTATCAGCAGGGTACATATCAGAAAGAGACATATCCTCAGTCATTATGTTTCAGTAGGTGCAGAAAAAAAGCTTTATACTCAAAATTACTAACCCATACAATTCATTTTCTTCTCTAAATCCCACTTTTCAATCTCAGTTTGGATTATAGATCATATATCTAACATATTCCAACATAGGTGGCATTGCCAATTGATCACACTGAGAAAGTGAGTACAGATAATAATAGATCTGAGACTGAAAGGTTTCAGTTTGCTGGATTTAGATAGTAGTCCTAATCAGGAAAATGAAATCAAGAAAATTCAGTTTCAAGTAAATGAAAAACATTCCAAAAGAAAGAAAAATAATCCTATAAATTTAACATATACTTAATTTCATTACAACCAAGTGGTCAATTGTCAGTTTATCATCTCATCAGGGACTGATTACCTAGACTATTGTTACTCTTCTAAATGTTTTAACAATAGATTCTCACTAAACTATACAAGGTATACCAAAAGTCAGATCTCACTGACCATTTACTATATAAATTACATCAAAACTTTTTTGCCACTTTTTCTAAACATTTTTTATTTCTTTGATGCCCTTTGAAAAATTCCTGAGCAGTAACATTTTCTCTAAAAAATAAAATTAAACAAAACATATAATTGGTTTGTGGGGCCTGACTTCAAGTATACCCTATACATAAATATGAACCTCAGAAAGATTTTCAGTAGTTTTAGAACCACTCTTATGCAGAGGAAGACATTTCAAATTACAAATGAATTATTTTAAATTATTGATTATTATTTTAAATAAATAATAAGGCCAGCCAACAATCAATAAAAATAAATAAATACAAGACCACCCAGTTATTATCCATTGCCCACTTACCTAATACTTATCTACTTGTGTATATTGAAGCATACTAATCTTTTTTAAAGCGAAAACACTGGCTCTCTTTGACAAAGTTCTCAAAGTGTACTATAAATCAGTCAATACTGCACAGAATAAGCCAAAGGGAAGGGAGGGTGGTGAGTAAATTCAACAGGATATCCGAAATACCAAAACACAGAAACTTTTGCTATTTTCCCAACCCAGGCACCCTCTACAACTTATCAAGAGGAATTTTAGCGCTCTTGATTTCGCTAAAAAGAAAAAGAAAAGCCGATCTGAACTAAAAAACTTTTTTCTGCTCTTTTCCGGGGGAAAAAAAAGTCCCGTTTCGAGTCACTATCGCCATACCACAGAGAAGCCAGCATGAGGACTTACAGGGGAACTGTCCTTTGCTGCCGCTTTTCAAACCACTCGGTTTCATTTTCCTGGGAAGTCACATTTTCTGCACCCTCATTTCCCCGCGACGATTACGGTCTACAAGAAAAGATCGTATTAAAATGATCCAAAATTCGTTCTTTTTTAAAATACCAATTAAAGCTGAGGGGCGGGGTTCTGGGTGCGTTTTCTCCAGCTCTTCCTTCCTCCCAAGGTGTCTCCCTTCCTCCCTCCATTCACGAGGCAGAATTTGCAATCCTTCTCCCGTACCCGTCGTCTTGTCGCTGCCTGGCCCCGTCCACTCCACCCCACCCCACCCCACCCCGAAGGGACGGTTGGTGTTTGAAATGTACATTCCCGCCGCTCGAACCGATCCCCGGCCCTCGCCTCACCCCAACCCAACGGATCCCATGGGGCCGGGCACGGCTTCTACTCAGGATCTTCTACGCCAGTCGGCCATCGCACTTTTTGTCAACCGCGCTTTCCCGCCTTTGCCCACCCGGGTCTACCAGGCTCCGTCGACGCTGGCTTCGCCTCCCTGGTTGGGCTGAGCGAGTGGAGAGGCGGCGCCACGCAACTAGGAGGAGCCTTTCGCAGCGCTCACAGGGCGAAGGCACCGTTGTTTCTTCTCCTTCTTCGGGGTGGTGGGGGAAGGTGGTTTGCTATCATCCTCTTCCCTCTCCCTTACTTCTCCGGTAAATGGCAATTGAAAAGGCAGGAGCGCGAAAACGTGCCGATCTTCTCGCTAAAGGAGCTGTTTTCCCCCTAAAAAATGTGGTTGAGTGATGCCTTGTGAGGTTCTTGAGAACCGGTAAAAGTCCCAAATGTAAAGAGTGCGTGGTGCCTTCGTAAAAGCTGGGAGAGGGATCAGGTAATCCTCAAGAGGTACCGAATGAGTTGCGTGAGAAAGGAGGCGTTGATTGAATTGGTATTAGTTTTTGTTATGTAAAGACCCGGGTGAATTCTATGCATGATGAGATTAAAGATAAGGGACATAACAGCTGATACCAGCATTTGAAGAGGGACCACCTCAGAAGATACTAATAAAGAGGAATATTTGTAGCTCAGGGTTGAAACAAAATACCTCCCCACCAGCAATCAACACCCAAATGAGCATAGATTAAATCCAACATTAACATCAGACCAACCATTAAGAAATAACACCCTAATCAAAGAATTGCCAAACAACTAAACAGCCTATAAGCCAAGAACCTCCAAGCCCTCTCCCATCAACACTGACAGGGCAAACAACTAGAATATAAACTGAGAGTAAACCCCACTTGTTACTAGCACTGATAATGTTATTATCTAGTTTGAGTGATGAGTGGTTTGCAAGAAAATAACCATCTCAGAAGATATTCCTTCACTTGGAAGATTTTTATTCTGCCCTCCTTTCTTCTGAAAAATGGTCTGGCAGCCCACAGAAGCTGTTTGGATTCTCAAAATTGCTGTAACAGACAAGGCTGAGTGATCTAGATGGTCACCTAAGGTCATTCAAAAGATTTCATGATAAACCAAGGACTAGTTTGACTGCTTTGAAATCAACATTTTAAGAATTGTACTCTTCAGACTGTATGCTAGTTTGAGCCAATCCAATTAACAGAAATAATACATAATGTAGGCTTTGTTCTTATGCATGGCAGTTCCTATGGTCTTAGGGGGTCAGCAGTATTTCAAATAATCCATAGGTGTTGAGAGTATCTGTGATTCCAGGAAAAAAAAGTGTTTTGGGGATTGTTTAAAATTACTTTTGGAATTATATCCTACCTTGCATTGAAGTAAATTCTAACTGGATTCCGGCATATTCCTCCTGTGACAGATCAGAGTCATAAGGTTTAATTATTTTTTTAACATATTTTTTCCCCAGGAAAAATGATGGATTGTGAAAACAAAGGAAATGGACCCTCTGGAATCACAACTTTTCAGCAAATTGTCTCTTCCTGTTGTGGTGCTGTTCTAACATCCATTTTGGGTAAGATCAAGTATTAGAATCTTTTAAACTTTCCTAAGTCTGCTTTTATAGTTTTGTCAGAATACTCCTATATTTGTGTTCAACTTCTGTTGTGCTCTAGAACAGTGCTTTTCAACCTTTTCACAGATTGTACTACTTTTAGGATATGGTAATATTCGAGTACCATCAGTCGTCTAGCAAGGTGTCGAAAACTTGATAACCAAAAAAAAAAAAAAAAAGGAAAAATGTGATGAAGTACAGGTAGTGCAACTGTTCGAAGTTACCATGGCACTGAAAAAAGTGACTTATGACCATTTTTCACATTTATGACTGTTGCAGTATCCCCAGGATCACGTGATTTACATTTGGATGCTTGGCAACTAATTCATATTTATGACGGTCGCGTGTCCCAGGGTCATGTCATCCCCTTTTGCAACCTTCTGACAAGCAAAGTCAATGGGGAAAACAAATTCACTTAAGAACTATGTTATTAATTTAACAACTGCAGTGTTTCACTTAACAAATGTGGAAAGAAAAGTCAAAATGGGACAAAACTCATTTAAGAAATTTCTCACCAAGCAACATAAATTTTGGGCTCGATTGTGGTTGTAGGTTGAGGACTATCTGTACACCCACTTACCTCACTTTTAATGGGAAACTTGTGCTTGTTTCTCTGACATTAACCTTTGCACTGTTCTGTCCCCTTCTCTCCTTCTAGTTGACTCTAAAGAAGCCTCTCCTCCGTCTCTCTTTCTCCTTCCCTTCTCTTTCCCTGTCAGGTTTTTTCCTCCCTTTCCCTCCAAAAGCTTCTTTCATATCCTCTCCTTTCTCACCCTCCTTTTCTCTTTGGTGTAGCTGCAGCTGACACCTCCCCCCCCCCCAGGCTGCACGCTGCTTCAGGAAGTGCCAATCAGCTGAAGCCCCCCAGACATTGCTGCCCCTTCAGCTCATCTCCAGCTATACTTTTACATTTTCTTTTACACTTTTTTTACAGTGCTTTTTAATGCATTAGTACCGAAGTACCATCAGTGTACATGTACAATGGGTTGAAAAGCACTGCTCTAGAAAGCAGAGCTTAAATTTTTTTTACTTAATTAAATTTACTTAGCTAGTTCTGGTTTTAATCAATTAACTACCTATTAATTAACATTAAAAAAGCATTTTAACATGATGGTTGTTTAATTGTCTTAGTGACACCTCTAGATGTTGTCAAAGTTCGACTACAGGCCCAAAGCAATCCATCCCTGAAAGGTAGGTGATAAAATTTGATAAATTATTCTCAAAGGTTCACATTTATGAAATTGAGATTACTTTTTAATTCCATGTTAGAAATGTTATTTGCACTTTCTGATCATTTATAAGATGAATATACATTTTATTTTATGCTAGTTTATAACTAATAAATATATCATTTGATGTTTTCTTTAGAAATTGTTAAGACATCTTTTTACTTATATAAAATGAATGCATGAGATTATGATTATACCATTATATTTGCCTATGATACTTCCATGTAACATTAAGGATGTTGTATGAACTTTAAGTATACATAAGTATATAATCCTAATATAAGTATATAGTCCTCCAGATTATGCTGTGCTTCATCAATTCCTTTGTAACACCTAGGAGTAAAGATTTCTTGTTTACTTTTTTATCAGGAAAGTCTTTTTTGGATTCTGATGGCTTGACTGATCACATTTACCTTTATGAAAATGGAACTGGCAAGACCTGGCATAAGACACCTGGTCGTTTTACTGGCATGTTGGTAAGAAAAAATGCACATTCAATCCAGTAGTATTAACTTTTAACTCTTCTAAGTTTGTCTGACCAATTTCAATTTTGAAATATAATTAAATAGTTTCACAGTAGCTTAAGCTCAGGAGAAACACACTTCACCAGTAATCAGCATTCAAATCAGCATAGATTAACTCAAGATCACCTTCAGACCAATAATCAAGTAAGCAATACTCCAATCAGGAAACTGACACAGAGCCATTAGTAAACAGCCCAACCAAGAATCCCTAAGACTGCCCCCACCCACCCAAACATGCAAGACACCAGAATACAAACAAACAGCAAACAACACTCCTTACTAGCATTGATTATGTTACCTAGTTAAGGTAATGAAATGTTTGCAAGAAAACAAGCAAGCTCAGAGAGCATCAAGAATCCCTCATTTCAAACCTGAGCTACAAATATTTTCCTTCATTGGAAACACACTTCTTTTGCATTATGATAATTTAAAATTAAATCTGTCTATACATTCACATTTTATAAGATACTTGGTACAGCAGTTTCCAATGATTGTGAATGAGAAGATTAATTTGATAATAAGAAAATAAAAAGGTGATTGATTATTCCTGTCACTTAACTGATTGTAAACAATAGGCTATGTATACATGGTACTTGAGATGTGTTCATATGACAAACTAGCCAATAACATTGAAGCCTATCATGTTGTACATGCCCAAATCCATGTAGTTGTTTAATCATTCATATGTCATATAACAGGCCAGTTTACGGTCTCTTGGTATGTTATAATCATACCCTAGGCAAGAAAGTAGCAGAGTGTCCTTGCAGGCAATCACTCTGTCTCAGCCTTAGGAAAAAGTCAGTAACAATCCACTTCAAAACATGTGCAAGGAAACTGCACAGGCACACAAATGTCATATAAGTATAGTTATAAATTTCTAACAGAGATTGGGAAAATCATTTTTTGTCAATTTTTCAGAGTTCAATAATTTTGACTGAGCTTGGATCACAACTGCCTCTTGCAATTCCTATATGGCAACCCGTGACTCATGCTGAAGTTGCTGAGCTTATCTCAGAACTTAAGTCAGGCAAAGCCCCTGGCCCCGATATTATACCCCCCATTTTGCTAAAATCTAATCCCAAGTGGTGGATTCCTCTTTTGGCAACACTTTTCACCCATATTAATTCCTCTGGTAGGATTCCTATCTCTTGGAGTCTAGCAATTATTATTCCAGTTTTTAAATGAGGAAACAGCCAGTTATCGCCCTGTAAGCCTGCTTTCCATCATTGGGAAATTGTATGCCAAATATCTTCAACGTAAACTCCTCATTTGGGTTGAGGAGTCTAACATTATTGGTGCAGAGCAATAATGTGCCATATTGGACCACTGTTTTGTCTTAGCACACCTGGTTGACAAATATGCTATTACACCAGGTGGCAAACTCTTCACTGCTTTTATTGATTTAAAGGCAGCATTTGACTCAGTCCCTAGGGAACTGTTGTGGTCAAAATTGCACAAAAGTTCTATTGACAGACGTCTTTTGTTCTTAATCAGATCTTTGTATAATCAGACCTCTAGTCAGGTTAGGTGTGGCTTGCAAGGAGAACTTTCAAATCCTATCCTGATTGAGAGCAGAGTTAGGCAGGGCTGTGTCCTGGCCCCTCTTCTGTTTAATTTATTCTTATCCGACCTGGCCTCTTACATTGTACGCGTTGAGTCCCACGCCCCAAAGTTGTCAAATACAAAGATTCCGCTTCTTCTTTATGCTGACGATGCGGTCCCTCTATCACAATCAAGGCTCGGTCTAAAAAGATTACTTTCTGCATTTGGGTCCTACTGTGCTGAGAACCATTTGCCTATTAATTATGACAAATCCAAAGTATTGGTGTTCTCTAGAGCCTGGAAATTATACAATTAGGCTATCAATGATAATGTTAGGCAGGTGTTCCATTTTAAGTATTTAGGTATTCAATTTCAGAATACTGGTGCTTGGATTAAACAGAACCCAGGTGCTGAATTCGGCCTCCTGTAGCCACCAGCAGATTATAAGATTCTTTTTTTACCCAAGGGGGCCAGTTTATTCCTTCTGCTCTGCATATATATCAAGCCAAAACCCTAGCCCAAACTCTTTATGGAATTCCCATATGGATACGAGGCTTCAAGGATTGTATTGAAAGAACACAGGCTGTTTTTCTTAGGAAACCTCTAGGTCTTCCTCCTTGTGTTGGATTTGCTTCGATGTACCTGGAACTGGGCATTTGTCCAGTCGAATGCATGGTGTGGATTAACACCTTTAAATGGTGGTTTTGGATGCTCTTTTCGGCAGTCCCTGGTAGCTCCTTTCCCTGGTGTTTGCTGACTCTCATACTTCTAGTTGGGAGAGGGAGCTAACAAAGAAACTCTACTTGCTAGGTTTTACGGGGGATGCTCTGGGAGATTATGGTCTCAAGGACACCCAGTTTAGGATAGTCCAACGGCTTGTGGACATAGATTTGCAATATTTAAGATCCAGAGCCAATAAAACCTGCTCCCCTTTGATCTTCAACCATTCTAATAATTATGGATTGAGGATGGCTTCATATTTCTATACTCTAACCATCCCCAAGTATAGAAGAGTCTTTTCCCTAGCCCGTTTCAATGTTTTGCCCTCAGCACTACTCAACGGGCGATTCAAGAGGCTCCTGTTTAGTGAGCGACTATGCCCCTGTGATAGGGCTGAAGTTGAAAATGTGGAGCATGTCTTATCATACTGCCCTATGTATAACACAGCCAGAATTAAATTACTGTCTCTCCTTGGAATTGATCCCTCTGGTTCTAATGTTAGTAATTTGGTCTTATATTGTCTAGGGGATGGCTCCTCCTATATTACTTCTCAGGTTTCTAAATTTCTTTTAAGAGCTGTAACTATTAGAGGAGAACGTTGTAATTCCCTTTCGCCAAGGCTTCTGGTGTTAACTGTTTGTGATTGTATTTTTCTTGTGTTTTCTTTTGTTGCACTTGCATTTTGGTCTGTGACTGTAAATAAAAATATTATTATTAATATAGTTATAAAGTACTCTTAATTTCATAGATTATTGATGCCCTTTTGTGCCCTTGAAATTCACAATTCCATCCAAATAAAAGCTTTTGACCTTAGTGGAAAGCATTTAGCTCACTGTGGTTTATTACATCTCCTTAAGTCAATTTTGCATATTGAATATTTATTGATTTAAGAAGGAATGAAGATTTTTATTTTGAAGATCAATAGATATGAATAGATATTTTATATAAAGTAACATTTTTCTAGATGTAATATATTTATAGATAAATTCTTCCTATTTCAAATTAGCATTTCTCAGATCACCATTGAAAAAGATGGCAAATGTTCACAGAAGAATACACAGGCCCTTCTTAAATTAGCAAGCATGTGAAGAGCCGAACAATAGGGCTGTCACCATTCTGGCCAGATAGGAACAACCAAATGGCCAGACATTCCCTTTGGGCCCCAGAATGCCCAACTCTACTTTCAAAAGATACAAAATTAAACTAAGAAGAGTGTGGGTGTGTGAGTTCGTAAGTTCTCAGATACAGATACCACACACCTATAGTATGCCAGTTTTTTAAAAAAATATTTTAAACTATTAAATACATAGTGTTTGGTAGATAGTTCAAGAAATCTACAACCCACTTCATCACTATTTTTCCTTCTTTTAGGATGCTTTTGCAAAAATTGTTCAAAGAGAGGGCGTGAAAGCATTGTGGAGTGGGTTGCCGCCCTCACTGTAAGTTATAAGTTTTTTATTTTTTCTTTCTTCAATTAATCTTTCACAATAAAATCAGTTAAAACCTGAATAAAAGTAAATAGTTAATAAAATTAATTATGAAACTATCAATGCTGTTAATATTCACTGCAATATTAGTAATAAAATAACTGAAATGCAATTTTATTAATGACTTTCCTATTACTGCCAATAGTTGTCTTAAGGTAAAAAAAATAAATAAACATAGCAATGTGTATTCTAAATAATCAAATTTTAGTATGTGTCCTGGGCTATATTAATTGGTGCAACTTTTTTTATATAACTAGGAGGGGTAGTAGAAAAAATACTTGACCTGTATTTTGAGAAAATCAAGATAGTGTTAGAAATGTTTTTTGGGAACAGTTGAAAGTTAAAAACAGCTGTGTTGAGGAAGAGCTCAAATGGTTCAGTCTTAAAATCCTTGACATGCCGCAGAAAAATTAGGAAAATTACAATTTGAAAAGGAGGTCAAGATTGTAAAAAAATAGTTTCCTTGCTCTTCCTAAAATCCTCCCCCAAAATATTTCTGCTTTGATCAGCATGAACCCAGCCAGATGACCTTGGAAAACAGCAGTTCTTCTGCCACAGGAAATCAGTTCTAAAAAGCAAAGCAGTAGGTAGCTTAAAGGAAAAAATATCCATTTAACAGTCTCAACAAGTGACTCTGGGCAATGTGCATAAAAACATAAAATAATACAAAATATTGTAAATATATATCGTTGCCGAATAAAATTATTGTCGTAGATTTAATAGAATGAAGAAATGGAGCCCTAAATATACCCCAGTCATGTAACTAGCTCTTTACAGTCCTATAAAAGGCCAACAGAGTTGGGGCTATCCTAATCTCTGAAGGAAGAATATTCCAGAGCACAGGGGTTATGGCATGACTCCTAATTCCCGCCAACCAACATTCCTTGGCAGATGGGATTCATAATATGCTCAACCTGACAGTCCAAACTGGACAGGTGAAAATGACTAGGAGAAGACAGTCCCTTAAGTGACCAGTTTAAGATTTTAAAGGTGACAACCAACTTCTTGAATTGCACCCAGAAGCACACTAGCAGCCAGTGCAGCTCATATACTGTGGAGGTGGTATTACATATCAAATATCTAATACCATTTACTACCCATGCAGCCACATTTTGTGGCAGTTGAAATTTTAGAATGCTCTTCAAGAGCAGCTCCATGTAGAGTGTATTACAGTAATCCAGATAAGAAGTCACAAGGGTATGAGTAAATCCTAATTCAGGGATGAGCACACCTTGCATAAAACTGTGAAAAGGCCCTTCTAGCTACAGCTGCTACCTGCTCTGTAGCCATGAGGCCAAGAGAATTCCTCATCACCCAACCCCATTTTATAGCAGATTTGCTTGGAGCAATGCACCACATCCAGAAGCAAGAGTGGAAAAACCTTGTCACTGGACAGCACAGTCTTGCGCCTTTCTCCAAGGCTGCTCTCAATTGTTGATAGGGAATGAGAGAGCCAGTTGTGGCATGCTGAAGGGCTCGGTACTCTCTCCACTCCTTTATAACATCTACAAGAAATTGCTGGATGAAGTCATGCATCACCATGGATTGACATATCATAGTATATGGATGATACTCAATTTTATACCTCTGCCTTGAAAAGCATTAGGAAGCTTCAACTGGTGCAGAGTGCAGCGGTACGAGCAGTTTTTGGGACACCTAGAGTGGGCCATGTTACACCACTGTTCTGTGAGCTGCACTAGCTGCCAATTTGTTTCCGGGTACAATTCAAGGTGTTGATTATTATCTATAAAGCTCTGCATGACATGGGTCCAGGTTACTTGGGGAACCATCTCAACCCCTATGGGAAAAGATCCATCCCACTCATTCCAGTGGAGGAGGCATTCTATGGATCCCACCAGTCAAGGTATTCTGACTGTGGAGTCCAGGAGAAGAGTGTTCTCTGCTGTGGCCCTGGCTCTTTGGAACATCTTGCCTCCTGAAATGGGATTGGCTTCATGACCTTCCTTAAGAGCCTGAAGACCTGGCTCTGCCAGTTGGCTTGGGGCCATAGTGAGGAAGTATCACGTTGGAGGTGGTTGATTGACTAATAGCAGCTTCAATCTCCCTGCCATACATTTTGCTCTGTGATATAGACATAATACTATTAACAATAGTATTAAAGAGGTCAAGCTGAGAAGTCAAGAAGTGGAAGGATAAGTACAATATGTCCATCTTGTTCAGACCAGAAATCATCTAAGAACACAATCAGTGCCACATCAGTCCTGTAACCTGACCTGAATCCTGGCTGAAAGGGGTCCTAATTATCTGCTTTATCCACGATCTACTGCAGCTGCCAAGCAGCTACTTTCTCCACAATCTCCCTCATGCCACAGCTGGAGATTGGACAAAAGCTGTCCAGACTACTAATGTCTGGCCTCTCTAGGTGGATGAAGGGCGGGGCTGAAGGGGGCAGGAACATGTGACAGACATGAAAAGTCCTAGACCCCACCAGATTGCTTAGGGTTCGATTGCACAATCCCAAATGATTCAATTCCTCACCCCCACCCCCAGCTTTTATCTGTGAGAAAGCTGAGCAGAATCACAGTTCAATCTAAACTTTCCAACTTGATGACTAGTCCTATTCCAATAAATCCTTTCAATTAAGTCCTCTTGAATCACAACGACTGTTGATTAAAGCATTTTACATGGATGGCTGTTCCTCTACCATTAGTTCTTAACTAGAAGGAAATGCAAAATGCCTATCCGCTAATGTGGAGGAAGGAACTGCAGCCTCAAAGCCCAAACAGTCCAACCCTGCTTCTGCTACAGCGAAATTCCTCACCTCCAAGCCACCATGATGAAAAATGAGTAGCTTTCACACTCATTTAAGCATCACTGTCCTTGCCCTGCAGCATAATCCCTTCTGCAGGCTGGCTTTCTTCAGTGGTGGCCTCCTTCCCACTGATATGTTACCAATTGTTGCAAAATGGATTGAACACTTCCTGTGTGAAAATGCTATGATTCTCATCAGAGTAGTAGAATAAATCCTATCCAGATATAAAAGCACAGGCTATAATTGCAAAGTTATGAGGGATATGCTTTCTGGCTACTTTCAAAAGCACCATTATTTTTTCGTTATGTATATGTTGATCCCTATTATTAATGCACATGATTCTTCTTTACTGGATAATAAAACATACAGACATTCCTCTGTTTTGCTTATTTCCTCTCCAGAGTTGGCACTAATTGTACCATTGTTTGTTCGCCATATTGCATTGTGGGGCACAAAATGAAAAAAACCCAAAATTGTGGGCCTTTAGAATTCTTTGCTTTAAAGTGTTTACTTGAATAACTTAGTAGAGGGAAATTGCTCTCTAACATGTTTATATAAGTTGTTAAAGAGAAAACGGCATGTCTAAATGTAAAACTTAAATGATTAAGAAACTGATTAAGTGCTTATATTTCAATTTTAGAGCGGTTTCAGTTCCAACCACAGTAATTTATTTTACTTGCTATGATCAACTACGTGATGCCCTCGTTTATAAATTAGGAGATAATGACTTCATTCCACTTATTGCAGGTGGCATAGCCAGATGTGAGTTTACTAATCTATAGTTTACTGTTAACTGTTTACTATAACAAAACTTATATTAAAAGTTAACAAGTATGATGATGTGACATAGCAAATATTTATTATGTAAAATAAATGAGCGTAATTATTTCTCTGCTTTATGATCAAAAGTGTATATTCCTTAATCTAAGAATATTGCCTAATATATGTGTAACATTTTGTGGCCTTTTAACTATGATTCAGAGTTAGGAGATATCCTTAGCATGAATGGCTCTTTTGTCTTGAATTCCTCCTTCTTTACCTTGTCTAAGCTAACACTGATTAAACTTAAATCTTAATGGTGAGCATGGTAAATATGTTAATGTAAAAGCTGAACATAGCATATATGTAATTTCTCCTATTTCATGGCCTAGAGCAGCGTCCTTGGGCACCAAGGACTGATTCCATGGAGGGTGATTTTCTATGGGTCGGGGGTGTATGGTTTCGTGTACTACCTACATCCTGCATATGGAGAGATGGCGTTTTGCTCACGTGCACAGCCTGTTTTCTCGCAAGCTGTGGACCACTGCCAGTCTATGGTCTGTGGTTGGAGACCCTTGCCTAGAGTATTATTAACTAGCAGGGCAACAGAATATGAGCAGGATTTTTATAAAGAACACTTTTCATTGTACAGTAAAATTATACAGGGATAATTTTAATATATCAGTTATGAATTGTATTTACTTATTCAGGCATTTTCTTGTTTAAAACGTTTCATAACATTTGGGACACTATATAATTGGGAAGAAAGTCTCTTTATCAGATTCATTTCAGTTTCCCACAACAGCTGTCATAAACCATCTATACTTGGAAGAGGGATTTTAATTTATTTGTAGTCCTAGGGTTATAATTCTAACTCAGACTGGAATTTCCATCACTAAAATAGTCATTAAGGAAAAGATCACATAACCTTGTTTGTTAGTGTTAGTCAAAATTGTGTTTGTAAGGCCGGGACCTCATTCTTCTGTCCTGCATAGCTGTCTCTCTTTCAACTCCCTCCCCTCACCATTTCTGCCCCTTTGGTCACCTTACAGTCCATCACTTTAAACCTCCACCCCAGGATCCAGGTACATAGGCTGTGTTGGCCCTGAGCTTGTCTCTACCCTTTAATGGAGGTTGAAGGCTGGTTCTTCAGAACGCCACCCAATATAGGAAGTGGAGGGATAAGGGCTTCCTGGAGGTGCAATTCATACTCTGCAATTTGCATTGGGGAAAGGAGCCAATGGGGGGGGGGGACTTCCCAGAGGCACAATGTGTGCTACAGCTCATTTAGAAGCATTCGTGAAGTACTGGCCTGTGGGTTTCAATGAAGGGTGAAGGTGGAGACAAGCCCAGTGCTAACAAAATCTTATGTTCTGGATCCTCGGATAGGTGGCAGAGTGTAAGGCGACCAAAAGTGATGTTTTTATGAAAATGTGATATATTCATAATGACTAATGTTTTTTTTAACAACTAATTAGGCATAATTGTTTGTTGTGCTGTCTGGAGCAAGGTTAATATTAATTCTAGTAGGTTATCTACAATTATAACTGACTGTGTTTGATATAAAATGGCTATCAGGGCTATATATGATCCATGTTGGAGCCTATAAAAATGCATGAATGAACAGATTTGTTAAGGACCCTATGGAACAAAGAATTTTTATTTTCATCTTCCTAAAATTCTGCTACAGTAGCTCTACAAAGGAGATGCAGTGATCTGAAGCTTAATAATCAAGAAAGGGAAAAGAAAAATCGTAGCCATGTACTGAGTTTGGGGCTATAAACCCAGGTGCAGCCCATTATGCAAAGTAAAATGAAAACAGATTGCAAGAGGAATAAAGAACATGACCTTACTGATTGAAATCTTAAATATAGTAGTTAGCTATGGAGTCAGGCTCAATTCATGAAGTTTTCGAGCCAAGGAGCAAACCAATTTTATCTGCTGATAAAATTAATTAAGATAGTAAGGTATACAGGTATAGCATTCCTTGCATTACAAGGGCAATTAGGACAGGATTACCATCGCTGGTGCAGTTGTAAAGCATGATATCATGTTATCATATTGCTTAGTGGCAACATCTCAGCAGTCCCAGTTGCCACTCTAAGTCTAAGACTTACAAAAAAATGCAAATGACCAGTTGTCTGCAAGGAATATAAATCCTTCCATTCCTTACCATCTAGTCAGAACTGAAGAAGCTTCTTGGATGAGAAGTAAAATGTCTTCAAAGAAAAAACAAAGAAAGTCCAGTTGCCTCCTGAAAAGGCACCTTTGGGACAACCATGACCTGGATGATTGAGAATCTCCATAGACATAGTATTAAATAGTTTGTCAAATAGGATTTGTTTAAAAAAATGTGGTTATTAAAAGCAAAACTGAAAACTTATTAATTTTACATATGAGGAATAGAGAGGATCATGAAATCTTACATTTAGAGCATTTTATTCTCATCACAATATATCAAGGTCAATGAAACACTCATTGAATTTAGAATCATAATCTATATAATAAACCATATTAGAATTAGAGTGGAGTGGAGTGGAATGGAATGGAATGGAATAGAATAGAATAGAATAGAAGCTGGAAGTGACCTTGGAGGTCTTCTAGTCCAGCCCCCTGCTCAAGCAGGAGAACCTATACCATTTCAGACAAGTGACTGTCCAGACTTTTTTTAAAAGCCTCCAGTGATGGAGCCCCCACAATTTCTGAAGGCAGGCTGTTCCACTGGTTAATCTTGAGTTCTTTACATAAAAGTTGAAATAATAATTTATTAAATGTATATGATACCTGACTCCTAACAATTCTGGGATGAATTATACTGTTGGATCAATAACTATCCATATGGTTATTATGAAGTGAAATGCTTAATGCACAAAATAATAGATATGGCCATATACTGAAAACAAGTGTCTTGCAGAAAAAAGTTTGTAAATTTTGAGCACTGTGTTTCTTTTTCTTCCAAATCTAGTATGGTCTGCTACTGTAATAAGTCCAATTGAAATGATTAGAACAAGAATGCAGTCTGGACGATTGACTTACACACAACTGCTTGCTCGCATCAGTACAGGTGTCACCCAGAATGGCTGGCTTTCACTCTGGAAAGGATGGGGTCCTACTATCCTTAGAGATGTGCCATTCTCAGGTATGACTTCTTTCTTTCGCATATTTTTTATATGTCCTGGCTACTGCAAGTTCTCTTCAACTGAGGGTTTTAGTAAATGGGTTCATGAGATATAAGTTTTAAAAATACAATTGTGTTTTACATTTATAAAATATATGCATATCATAGGTGTATGATACATCTTTCAAATGTACTTTCCTCAGTTAATAAAATGCAACTCTATTTTTATAATTTTTTAGACGGTGGTTTTGGCTTTATTCCTGTATTTTTTCTTTAGATATTAACGAAATTATCTTGCTCTTTACTTTTGACAGAATTCAGTGCTGGAATCATAGTTATCCCTAGTTATTATTAAATCAAAGAGGGGTTAAGTTTTTCAGTAGTTGGCAGAATACTGAACATTGATAAGTGCTCATATTTCTATTATTATTTGCAATTGTCTGGAATTAAAATAGTGCTCAAGTGAAAAAACTTTTTTATGCTATTGTTTGTCATTGGATTCACACATGTTAAGTGTGGTTTTCTAAATATGCTTTATTACATAAATCACAGCTGGTTACATTCACACATCATATTCAGCCAAAATTAAATAAACTATTTTATGCCCTAGCACAGTATCTGAATCTTATTTGTAGCGATGTTCATGGTTCATAGAAACTCCATCCCCAATCAGATAAGTCATAAATAGCAATAGCCATAGCACTTAGACTGATATACCGCTTCACAGTGCTTTACAACCATCGCTAAGCAGTTTACAGAGTTAGCATATTGCCCTCAGCAATCTGGGTCCTCATTTTACTGATCTTGGAAGGATATGTCATAGCTCCATCAGAGCCCGGTTCAGAGGAGGAAGAGTTGGAAGCAGGTCTGTCCGATGGAGATGGCACATCTCCCTTGGAATGTGTAAAGAAGCCAGGGGCTGAGGACAATGGTGTCCCAGGCCTTTCAGGCATTGGGGGAGGTGATTGACCGGATGGAGAACTGCCTGCCCTCACAGACATAGGGGAGGATCGACTGCTGATAGGCAGTGGTTCTGATAGACAGCAGATTGTCTCTGATGAGGAACAGCTGCCTCTCCCACTTGATCCAAGGATACAGAGAGCGGAGCATAGGCAACAGAGAAGGGTTGTGTCACCCCTCCTCACTAGAAACATCTGGAGTGGATTGACTTAAGGAGAAGCTGTGGGAGTTAGTCTTTGCCAGGAACAATTGTTTGTTTTTGCTTATACTCCCCCGCCTTTTGCCTTGCCTTGCCTTGCCAACTGCCTTTTGCCTTGTACCTTGACTTTGCCTCATGGACTCGCTTAGCCAGGTAGACTGGACTTGGGACCCTGGATCTTGCCCTGTGAGTATGCTCCTACTCTGTACTTTCTTTGTTATATACAAACTGTTGTTTGTTGAACTGAAGGTGGAGCCTTGTTGGAGGGCCATTTGTTGGAACATTTACTTAGAGCAATAAAGGACTTTCTAGAGGCCTGCCTTGCCTTGAAGACCTTCATCATTTTTTTCCTCTGGCTGCTATTGAGGCATGCCTGGCTTTGTCTGGCCCTTTGTGAGTGTAGCCAAGTTAAGGGTAACTGCTGCCAGGGTTACGGTCATGGAAGCATGTAAAAGTTTCTGTTGCACTTCAAATTTCTAAAACAATTTGATAGCACATAAGCAATCAATTGCAATTTCAAATTTTTTAATGTTTCACAATTTGATCCCATAGCACTCTATTGGTACAATTATGAATATTTCAAGATGAACTTATGCAAGAAATCAAGTTCGCATGAGCCAACATTTTTTATCATCTTCTCATCAGGAGCAGCAGCTGGTTGTGTAAGCCACGTTTCTGTTGCTAATAATTCATATAAGAATGCACAAGCATATTAAGCACTCATAAAATTGTAAAATATTTGATCATTTAAACCTTATTTGAAATTAATGAAGTTGATTGAACAAAATAATAAATTAAAAATACATGTAATAAAAGTAGATGAAGTTTTAAAATATTTACTTCTTTGAAATAGTGATTAGTAAGAAGGAATTTATCTGCTTTGGGCATGCAGTTAGATGGTAAACTAGATGATCAAGCAAGGGAAGCAGAAGTTGGAAATTTACGCTTTTGAGCTTTGGTATTGGAGAAAACTCCTGAGAATATCCTGGATAGCCAAGAAAACAAACAAAACATAGATCAACTCACAAAATGTAGATTAAACTTCACCTAAGGAGCAAACCACCTGATACAAATTATATTTTCAACAAATGTTAAGACTTAGCTCTCTTAAGATATCTATAATACTAGAAAAGGTGGAAGAAAAGATGACAACCATTAGCAAGATTGCTGGACTCTTATTACAAACATAATAGATATTCTGTTGGAAGTCTAATTTTCAAGATTGACATGTACTGTATACTTTTGTTATGATTATTCAATATGTTTGACATTCAACTAATAGCATAGTCAGGTTCACATTTTGCCATCTTAGTTATCAAGATTTAATGGTAGATTTGTTAAATATTTTGTTGAAGATAAACTACAATATCTGTAATGCATTGAATTGATCACTCTGACAAAAAGAAAATCTGTTAGGACTAAGTCCAGCTGTCTTTAATTAGTCAAATTAAAATTTAATTTAATGAAAGATTATAAAAATAACATTGAATTCTAGCTATTGAATTAGTTATTACATTATTCTTTATAAATATATGCACAAGGCTGAGGTTGATTACAAAAATGCTTATGTTTGGTATATTGTTTTTCATAAAGTATTCTTTTAAATTAGGCTTTTGATATTTTTTCATATTTATTTTTTTAAAGTAAGGACAAGCAGTTATATAGTTGGATCTACTACAATATGAGTAGTAACTTTTTTGTTTTAATGAACAATTATAACTTGCTAAATTTTTTACAAATTTTACTCCATCTAGATTTTCTCACTAGGAATAAACTCCTGCTTTATCAATATTTGGTATTTTATTTCAATTGTCTGTCCAATTAGCATATTAAATGTTAAAGTTTATGACATTACAAAAACTGAACAAGTATGCTTTGTTTGGAAGAGTTGCCAGTTGCCTCTTCTTTCTAAAAAGAACATGGCAGCACAGCTTAGATTTGCTAAGTTGTATCTGAATAAATCAGAAGACTTCTGGAACACTGTCCTTTGGACAGAGGAAACCAAAGTGGAGATGTTTGTCCATAATGCACAGTACCATGTTTCATGAAAATCAGACAACATATCAGCACAAACATCATATACCCTCTCTCAAGCATGGTGGTGGAGGAGTGATGATTTGGGCTTGTTTTGCAGGACTCTGGGCACCTTGTAGTCATTGAATCAACCATGAACTCCTCTGTATATCTAGAGTCAAATCTGAGGCCATCTGTCCGACAGCTAAATCTAGGCCGACATTGGGTCCTGCAACAGGACAATGATCCCAAGCACACCAGTAAATCTCCAGTAGAATGGCTGAGAAAGAAAAGAATCAAGGTGTTGCAATGGCCCAGTCAAAGTCCAGACCCCAACCTGATTGAACTGCTGTGGCGGGACTTCAAGAGAGCTGTGGATAAACAAATGCTCACAAACCTCAGTGAACTGAAGTAGTAAAGTTGTGGGCCACCTCCACAACAATGTGAGAAACTGATAAAGTAATGCAGAAAAAAATTACTTCAAGTTATTGCTGCCAAAGGTGGTTGTACAAGCTATTGAATCACAAGATGTGCTTAGTTTTTCACACGTGGCTTCTCCACTTTGACTTTCTTTTTGTAAAATAATGACATGGTATATAATATGTCATGTGTTGTAGTTCATTTGAGGTAGTATTTACCTACTTTTAAAAACCACTAAGGAGTAGATGATTTTTATTATGTCCTGATATGTACAACTATAAAACTCAAAAAGGATATACTTTCTTTTTCATATGACTGTACATATTTTTTCTTGTTCCTTCCCTTTTTCCTTTTTTTACATCCCCTTTTTCTTCTGTTTCTATTTTTTTGTAGTTTGTATCATTATTCTCTTCATTTATAGTTTTTAATAAATTTGAAAAAATAGAAATTCATATTTTAATAATATATTAATTCTGGTAAACATTTAAATTGCATTTTATTACAATTTTGAAAGTTATACTATTTGCATTTTGGCCATTTAACATTTATAAGTATTTTTCTTGCAGATTGCAGCTACATTAACTTTGCCATTTGATGTAATAAAAACACATCGACAGACTGAGCTTTGGGAACTTGATATTACACATTGTAAGTTTTTTTTAAGATTCAGAAGTATTCTAGTCCATAATGTCTGCCTATTTTAGTATACATTAAGCCTTGTCTGGGACTTCAGTCTTTTATTATTGATGTATTTATAATATCAAGAATTGTATATATTCAATCCTACACTACCTGGAATCTGTAGAATGCTGCAGGCTGTGTTATTACCTCTATAAGGAGGAAAATAATATTCAGAAAATGTTAGGTTACATTATATATTTTTTATTTTTAAAAACCTAATGTCATATTAGAAAAGGACTTTTTCTTGTTATAACATACAACAATAGGATAGAAAACACAGTGATTGTATTAGAAATACTACTGTGCGAAATATACTTCTAAAGGTTAGTATAGCACATGACTTCTGATTATAAGGAATATAATAAGATGCTTTTGTTTTGCAGTTTTTATATGTGTCATTTTAAGTGGACTTATTTTAAATCTTATGTTTGTTAAAAACTGCCTTATAATTAAAAGACATTAAATGTTCAGAACAGATTTTGACTGTATTCCATCTGAAAATAGTATCTCAAGATTAAAGTTATTATCATACAGTGAGTAAAACAAAATTGACATTAAATCATACTAAATAAGTATAGAAAAATGAGATGTGTTTTCTTTTAATCAGCTCCACAGAAGAAAACTGGATCAATATGGGAAGTAATGAAGAGAATTGTGATTGAAAATGGATTTACTGGATTATTTACTGGTAAATTCTTTTTGTTGCTGATTGTAAAATATTTTATTTCTAGATATTGCGCATATAGCAATATTAAAGTTTTTACTACATAATCTAAAAAAGTTTTTAGCACACTGTAAGACCTCCCTATAAACTGTTTTTGCCAGCTTTGAAAAACAAAACTCCAAAATAAATAAAATCATAGGGATGGATTCAATAAATTAGTTTGGAAATATTTATTACCATCTTTGATTAAAGACTACAGAAGGGACATATAAGAAATGGATATATTAAGAATATTAAAAAGTAGAATAAAACAATTTTGACACATTAATATAGCCATGTGTGTAAAAGTCTATATCAGGGCTTTTCAACCGGTGGTACGTATACCACTTGTGGTACATTAATGAGTGCCAGGTGGTACACAGCCCTGCCTAGCCAAGTGTAGTGGGGGAGGAAAAGAGCCAGCACAGGCAAGGACTTGCAGTGAGAGAGTCCTCTGGAGCTGCAAAGGCCCCAGGCTCACTTCTGCCTTACCCTCCCCCATGAGAAAGGAGGAGGGAGGCGGAGACAGGAGAGCCTATAAGACAGTGGTTCTCAACCTTTTTATACGGCGATCCCCGGTCACCGGACGTGCCGTGCATGCGCGGCGGCGCCCCCATGCGCGGCGGTGCCCCCATGTGCAGCGCGCATGTGCGGCGGCACCCCCTGAGGGGAAAAATGGCGGATCGCGTTGTTTGGCGACCCCCGTAAAATGGTCGTTCGACCCCAAATGGGGTCGCGACCCATAGGTTGAGAACCGCTGCTATAAGAGGAGGCAGTTTGGGTAGGAGAGGAAGAGAGAAAAAAAGCAGCAGCCTTGGGAGGAGGCAGAGTCAGCTGCACAGGAGGGGGAGGGTAGGGGGACAGGAGATCAAGCAGGCTGGCCATGAGCCAATCTACAACTGCTGTGGCAGCCAACTGTGCTGGCAGCAGCATACAGGCAAGAAATGCAGCGGGGGAGGGGTCGCCCTCCAAGAGGAATGAAAAAAGGCAGCAATGGCAGGAGGTGAGGCATGGAGGAGGAAAGGAGATGGAGAATGGAAGGATTCTTACGTGCTTTTGTGACTTTGAAGTTCTGGGATTTGTGCAATGAGGGCTTTGTGTTCTTAAGGAGTGTTTGGCAATTTCTATTTGGCTGATGGCTGATGTCTCGTGTTAGCTTCTATTGCTCTGCTGTTGTTAGCTGTAAGTTTTGCTGCAAGGGATTTTGAAGTATTTTTCTCCTGCATGGATTTTGCCTGTAGCATTCCTTTACTTATGAATGGAGCCATTTGGGGAGTCTGGCAGCCAATACGTACTACATTTTTTTTCTTCCTTAAGTGCTGGCTGCACTTCTTAACTTTCCTTTCTAGCCAGTAGCTAATTCTTAAAGGGGAATGTGCCTTTTTAAGCTAGTTCACTCAGCAGCTTGTCTTTTCTGTCTCTGGAGGCCTTTCCTTGTTTGATCAATATATGGAAGAGGGAAAATATGGGGGGGTTCAAATTCTTCCTTCAGAAGGAGATGGGAATGAGAAAATGGGAGGCAGGGAAGGGAGGGAGGAAAGGAAGTCCCGCCTTATCACTTGGCCACCAGCAGCTCTGCCACTCTGCCATTGACTTTGCTTGTCAAAAGATTGCAGAAAGGGATCACATGAGCCTGGAACACTGTGACCATTATAAATATGAATCAGTTACCAAGCATCCAAATATAAATCACATGACCCTGGGCATGCTACAATGGTCATAAGTGTGAAAAATGGTCATAAGTCATTTCAGTGCAATTGCAACTTTGAACAGGTTTTATTTTTTGGTCATCAAGTTTTTGATACCTTGCTAGGTGGTACTCGAATATTAGTGGGGGTTTCTTTTTGGATTAGGTTTGTAATCTTATTTCTTTGGAATCCATTGGATGTTAGTACATTCGGTTTTTAGGTTTTGTTCATCAGCTAAGCGTTTTGTTCTGGAGATGAGTGTCTTGGCTACGGAGTTGATCTGTGCTGGGTGGTGGTGTGAGAGAGCGTGCAGATAGCGGTTTGTGTGTGCTTTCTTCTGGTAGATGGTGTGTCCTTGAGAGCCATTGGATTTCTTGTAGACTAAGACATCCAGGAAGGGAAGTTGGTTATTCGCTTCTGTTTCCATGGTGAACTGTATTTTGGGGTGTAGGCTGTTGAGGTGTGTGAAGAAGTTGTCCAGTTTTTCTTTCCTATGTGGCCAGATTATGAAGGTGTCGTCTACGTATCTGAGCCAGAGTTTGGGTTTGTGATCCGATTTTTCTAAAGCTTGGGTTTCAAAATGTTCCATGTAGAGGTTTGCAATGACTGGTGAGAGGGGTGATCCCATGGGTGCTCCTTCTGTTTGTTTATATTTTTGTCCATTATAGATGAAGTATGTGTTGGATAGGCAGTGGTTGGTCAGATCTAAGATGTGTTTGGGGGGATTATATTTGTTTTGGATAGCTGTCAAGGCTTCTTTGATAGGCACTTGGGTGAAGATATGACATCGAAGCTCACAAGTAGGTCGCTGGGCTGTAAGTTTTGTTTCTTTATGATCTCTATAAACTGGAATGAGTTTTTTACATGTGAGGTGATGGATTCTGCATAGGGCTGTAGTTGTTTGGCGAGAAATTTGGCTAGGTTTTGTAGAGGTGAGCCTATGGAGCTGACTATGGGTCTGAGTGGGGTTCCTTCTTTGTGTATCTTGGGGAGACCATAGAGTTTGGGGCATCTGGATGATTTCTCTCTGGGAATGATTCTTTGCTGGATCTCTTTGCTAATGGGGGAGGCTTTTATTTTGGATCTGGTGGTTTTTTCCAGGTAGGTGGTGTGTTTATAGGGGTTTGTATGTGGAGTCTTGGAGTAGGTTGGTTAATTTGGTTTGGTAGTCAGATGTGTTCATAACCACTGTGGCGTTGCCCTTGTCTGCTGGTAGGATTATTATGCTGGTGTCTTCTTTCAGGTTACGTAGTGCTGTCTGTTCCTCTTTGGGTAAGTTGCTTTTGGGTGGCTTGCTGGTGCAGAGGATGTTGGTGATTTCGAGTCTGATTCTGTTAGCATCGTCGGGGTTGATTTTGGTCAGGCTGGTTTCAACTCCACATATAATGATTTCAGTGGGGATGTGTTTGGGAGCGACTGCAAAGTTGAATCCTTTGGAAAGGACATTGGTTTCGGCTTTGGTGAGGATCCTATCTGAGATGTTGTGCACTGTTCGCTTCATGTGCGGCTGTGAGGGAGGAGGGGTTTGTTTCTGGCATTCTTGTAGTCTTCGGAGTTTGTTGGTGTGTGTGTCTGTCTTGAGGGTGGTCTGTGTTTCGGCTCTCCAGACGGCGAGTTGTTTGGATTTGTCCCAAAGTGCGGGGTGGATCTTGTTGCTGAGTTTGAGATGAAGTGTGAGGAGATCTTTGTTAATTCAGTCTAGGAGGAATCTATAAACAAACAGAAGGAGCACCCATGCATTTAATGAATGAATGAAAGGGGGTTGTCTGACCTGAACGCCTTTTCTCAGCATGATGATAGAGAATCCACAAATGGGTTTAGACCAGTGGTTCTCAACCTGTGGGTCGGGACCCCATTTGGGGTCGAACAACCATTTCACGGGGGTTGCCAAACAACACAGTCCGCCATTTTTTTTCCCTTTTCCTTAGCTGTGCTACTCCCTTTTATTCTATTGGCTTTTGAAAGCCAATAGAATAGACTCTCTTGAATAGATTCTAATTCTATTGGCTTTCAAAAGCCAATAGGAATTGTGCAGGCTGTCTCTGCCCTGCTGAGCCCGCCAAAAGTCCCATTCTGCAAACGGTGCTGCATCAGTTGAGTAGTCCTCGACTTACGACCGGTTGAGTAGTCCTCGACTTACGACCAGTTGGGGGGGTCGCGGCATTAAAAAGATTGAGAACCACTGGCTTAGATGTTGTCTGACTTATGGTCTGAAGCGGCAGGGCGATCGGCCATTTTACTGGCCGATCTTCTTCTCTGTCGGCCCTCAGAGGTTCATCTGGACAGCTGGAGGAGCCACCGCTCCTCCACAGCCAGACAGCAGCCTTCTCGACGGAAGTCGCACCCTCCAGGGCGACTTTGGACCAGTATAAGGGTCCACCGACAGAGGGAAACCTAGCCAACGAGAAGTCTCCTCATGCGACTAGTGATGCTGCGAACCGGAACTGGTTTGATAAATATATAGAAGAGGGAAAATACAGGGGGGGGTTTCAAATTCTTCCTTCAGAAGGAGATGGGAATGAGAAAATGGGAGGCAGGGAAGGGAGGGAGGAAAGGAAGTCCTGCCTTAGCACTTGGCCACCAGCAGCTCTGCCATTGACTTTGCTTGTCAAAAGGTTGCAGAAGGGGATCACATGACCCTGGAACACTGTGACCATTATAAATATGATCAATTGCCAAGCATCCAAATATAAATCACATGGCCCTGGGCATGCTGCAATGGTCATAAGTGTGAAAAATGGTCATAAGTCATTTCAGTGCAATTGCAACTTTGAACAGGTTTTATTTTTTGGTCATTAAGTTTTTGACACCTTGTTAGGTGGTACTTGAATATTGCCATATCCTAAAAGTAGTACAATTGGTAAAAAGGTTGAAAAGTCCTGGTCTATATCAGCTTGAGGCAGAATCAAAGGTGACTAATTGACAAAAAATAGCTTATATTCCAGAATGTGTAAACTAATTTGTGTTGATCAAGGAAATTAAATTCCTTTAAATTTCTTATAGAATCTGATTAATTTCTTAATCAAATTACTAAGTTTTTTTTCTTCTATGCTACCATTAGCACAAAATATTTTCTTCTAGTTATTGGCTCAAAATGAATGAATCACATAAAGACTGCTGACATCAGGGATTTGTCAGAGTTGCCATTATGTGTACATTTATGTTTATGTTGGTCTAATGCAGGGGTGTCAAACTGCTGGTCCATGGGGTGGGTTGCATTATACGGAGGCCGCGCCCACCCCAACTCCGGCAATGCAAAAAAAATCACGATACATAACGTGGCAAGTTTGACACCCATGGTCTAGTGGTTAAGGTATTCGATAGAAAAGTAGGAGACCATGAGTTCAAGTTTTACCTAAGTCATAAAAGCCAACTGGGTGATCTTGGCCCCAGTGTTGTTGTTGTTGTTGTGGGGGAAATAGAGGAGAAAAGTGTGCTTTTTGTAAAAAATAATAAACATGGGATACAAATAAAAATAAATAAATAAATAAATAAAATCAAACAATAATGAAATTTGACTATCATCCCAATTATACAGAATTTATTCTCAAGCATGCTTTAATACAGGTTTGAATAAACACATTGTTAGTTTGTATATAGCATTAAGTTACACAGATCCATCTTAAATATTACTTTATAAATGTAAAAACGCAAGCAGTGGTTTTATAGACAGAGTATATTGCAGTGATGGCGAACCTTTTAGAGACCGAGTGCCCAAACTGCAACCCAAACCCATTTATGCATTGTCGAGTGCCGGGTGGGTGTGGCCCATTGGCTGGGTGTGGCCAGTTGGGTGGGTGTGGCCCATTGGATGGGCATGGCTGAGATGGTAACAGCAGACTGGGTGGGACTAAAAAGTTCAATCAATCAATTCCAACTTTGCAAGATCTTTTTTTTTCCCGCGAGAAGTTGAAATTGACTGATTGATTGAACCTTTTTTTTTTTGCACACGGCGGCGGAGGCCTAAAGCAAAAAGGTTTTATAAAACCCAGCTAAAGGCCTAGGACTGGGGTGACGGCACGTGTGCCCACAGAGAGGGCTCTGAATGCCGCCTCTGGCACCCGTGCCATTGGTTTGCCACCACTGGTATATTGTTTTGGAAGTTTTTTCAATATCTAGTTTCTTGTGCTATTTCATTTTTCAATACCTGTATTTTTTCTTTTCTTGCAGGTATTATTCCACGATTGACAAAAATTGCTCCTGCTTGTGCCATAATGATCAGCACATATGAATATGGGAAAATTTTCTTCCGTAGATTAAATAAAGACAACAATATGAAGAACTATTAATGTTGTTTCTATAAAATTGAAATGATGTCAGTACTCAGTAGACATAAAGGTCCACATAAGTTGTATTTTATTAGTTTCTACACCCATTGCATATGCATCCATGCCTCCACCAACATTATGTTCAGAATTATTCCCTATATGTTTGATATCAAAAAAAACTCGATCATGCTTCAGACATAAAATACAGTTAATGTTTCATAAATATATGGGAGAGAAAAAGACTGAAATCAGCATATGTTCCTGCAAAAGGAAGTTAATACATAAACTTTAAAAGCAATTTTCAGATACATAGTGGAACCTCAGTATTTGACTGCTCTGAAAGTTGTAGAATTTGGTACTTGACATATTTTATACAAACATTTTGTCCTGATACTCATCATTTGATACTCGATGCACAAACTAAAACTTGTCGGTATTGGCTGCTTCATGACTCACTGTCTTTTCCAGCCAAAACAAAGGGTTACACATTAACTCTGGCCCTATGCACATCCTCTTGCAGTCTTCGCTTCTGTGGTCATTTTCTGTATTTTTCTGCTTCTGATCATGGGTCCTAAGAAAATGAGCAGTGATAGCACTGAGCAGAAAAGAAAATTGCACCACATTGAGCAAAAAAAAAAAGGAGAAGAAATAACAGGCAAATATGAAAGTGGTATTCACATTACTGATCTTGCTAGGGAATACAATATGCCTAGAACAATATCATTAAGAAACCATTAAAAAAGAGTTAAAGCAATAACAAAGTAGTGTTCCCAAACACTTGAAGTTCAAAAGTTGTTAATTTGGGTAAACAAGAAGCAATTAGTGGGTGACATTGTGTCAGAAGACATGATACATGAAAAAGCAAAATTTGCATGATGCTCTTTTGAAAAACCGGCACCAAGTGGTCAGAATGTTGAAGTTTTTAAGGCCAGCCACAGTTGGTCTGATAATTTTGAAAAGAGTGTTGTGAGGCATAGCAAGGCAGTGAGTACTAATAAGGCTACTGATGAATCCATATCTGAGAATTTCATGATTATGTAGAGGCTGATGGTTTTATTCCCTATCAGTTTGTTAACTGATGAGACTGAACTTTTTGGGAAAAAAATGCTGAAAAGAACCTACATCACAAAAGAGGAGAAGGCATTACCAGGTCACAAACCAGTAAAGACATGCTATTGTTGTGTGGGAATGTTAGTGGGGACTTAAAAATCAAGCCTCTACTAGTCTATCATAGTGAAAACGCGCAAATTTTCAAGCAGCATAATGTCATAAAAAGAGAACTCCATGTAATGTGGAGGCCAAACAGCAAAATTTGGGTCATGAGACAATTTTTCACCAAGCGGATAAATGAAGTGTTTGGTCCCTCAGTGAAAAAATATTTGCTGGAGAATGATTTGTCTCTGAAAGCTCTCCTACTAATGAACAATGCACACGCCCACCCTCCAGGCTTGAAGGTTGACTTACGGAAGGATTTCTGTAAGGTTCCTGCCCCTCAGTACTATTCTCACCCAGCCCATGAACAAGCAGATCATTTCAAATTTCAAAAAGTACTCCAAGATGCTTTTCCAGAGATGTTTTGAAATAATCTCTGACACCCAGTTGATCCTCACAGAATTCTGAAAGAAATATTTCAATATCCTGCACTCCCTTAACTTTACTAATAAGGCTTGGAATGAAGTCTCTTATAGGACAATGAATTCAGCATGGAAGAATTTGTGACCAAAAACTGTCAGAGAGGGTGTGAGGCCGACCCTAAGCCTGCAGGTACATAGGGTACAATTGTGCAGGTTATGTATCTTTGGGCCAATCCAGGGAACTAGAGATCAATGCTGCTGAAATTGAGTTAGTGGAAGAATATGAAGAACTTAGCACTAAAGAGATGCAGGAATTACAGAAGTAGCAGCAATAAGAGGTGGCTAAAAGATTTATTCAGGTGAGGAGATAAGGAAAGATGTTACCAGTTCCTTGATAAAAGAAATGCATGAAAAATGCACAAAGTTCAAAACTTTGTGGAGAAATATCATCTGGACAAAACTTTGACAAGCAATTTATTCAATGACCAAACAATTTCACACCTACAAGGAATTCTGAAAAGAAAACAAGCAATCCTCACTGGATAAGTGTTATGTGCTCCTGGCTACTTTCCTTCGTGACCAGAGGCAAGCTCGCCTGACCAATAACCAGCCAAGACACAGTGAAGGCCTTTTGTTTCGTTTATTGCAATAAGCGGGGAGAGAAGCTATCAAAGCTTGGTTCTCTCCAAAGTTTTAACCCAAAATATCTCCTTCTTTTATTCATCCCTATCACCGGCCGCTACAGCCCTCCTCTTTCCCCATTGGCTGAGGTAGTATGAGGTTACACTCTTTCCGTCCGCCTATACACATTTCCTGATAACATACTAAATCATATTCACATATACAATAAGAATAAGAAAAATTATTTTCTTATGGTTATTTTAAACTCAATATATATTTATGTCTCCATTTTAAACAATAAGTTCTTTTCCTGTTCTCCATTCAACCTTCCTTTCTGGCTAGCCATTTCCTTAAAAAAAAAACTATTTATCTATTTTATTACTTCCCTCTTCCTTTCTCAGACCCAGCTATTTTTGCCTATACGGTTATCTTACTTCCTTAATGTTATCTCTTTCTTACTCTCACCATCTGTATTTTTTTCTATTCAATTAGTTTCCATTTTATTGTAGGTTTTAACTGTCTCTGAAGATTTATCATATTGATGTATATTTATCAATAAGTTTTTAGTGAAGGTGACAAAGAGGGTGTCAGAACCTGTGGTGCAAGTTGAAAAGGCAAAAAAGCACCTAATATTGTATTGGGGAGGGACTCTCCTTCCAAGCAACACTGGGTAACCTCTCCTCTTCACTATTCTCCTCCTACCATCCCTGTTAGAGCTTACCCAGACGAAGAGCAAGAGCCAACTCCAGGCATTTCAGAAGAGGGCATGGGGAAGAGTCAGGGAGACGCTGAGGTCTCTGTTCACTCCAAGCAGAAAATGAATGGGTCAGAGGAAGAAGAGAGGCCAGGAACCTTGGAGGGGCCATCAGGGAATGACCAGACAAGTGCTGGCTGGAGAGGAAAAATGCAGCTGTAGCTTGGGCTTGGAGACGCAGTCAGAAGTACAGAGTGGAGAAGGATCACAGCTGCAGTTGGTCAGCAGGATGAGAATGAACTGCCTCCTCCAGATCCTAGAATTCATAGGGTTGAACAGAGGGAGGCAGAACAGTCAGTGAGGTTACTCACAAAGGAAGCAATCTCATCCCTCCTAATGAATTACACCAGCATGTACCTATTTAGCCCAATGCATGGAGCAACGTGACATTGGAAACAGCTGCCAATTTTTTTCTGCTATTTATGTGCTCCAACTCCATGACTCCAATTTTCATGACTTCAGACCTGTGCTTCTTGTGACTGCATGTTTGGATTTCAGACCTGCTTCTCGCATTTTGGATTTGTACTTGACTTGGTTTTATTGTATGTAGATTCTGGATTGTGTCTAGATTTCAGACTGTGTGTGTGAACTTGCAGATTTGTGCCTTTTCCTGTGTTCTTTACAAACTTGTGCTAGGCTGAACAGGATTGGACTCAGGAACTTTGCAGTTGATGTGAGTGGGATCTGTCTTAATAAAATCTTAAAACTCAATGTGAATTTGTGCATGTGGACTGGAACAGGACAATCCCATTAGGACATGTACTCTTCTCAGGTAAAATGAAGTTTTTATTTTATTTAACTCAAATACATTAATTATTAATGTTTAGGTTTATTTCTCATATAATGTTATACAACCCTATTTTTTTTTTAATTATTGCCTTAAAATGTGCATTATCTTTGGTTCAGGAACACATTAAATTTATTCACATTTTTATGTGAAAAATTTATTTGGTCCTCATTGTTTTGGTACTTGTCATGTTTCCCAGGATCAATTCATAATGAGTACTGTGGTACCACTGTAAATTAATTAATTTTTAGAAATTAGTATTTATACTCTGAAGAAAACTTTCAAGTAATTCAAAAAAAGTTTAACATATTAGATAGTTAATATTGGTATGTATTTGAAGAGGTCACAAAAATAGCATGAACTAAGTAATTTCTGGTACTTAATAGAATTTTTCAAATTTTTAAGGAAAATATCTATATATGTTACATATTGTTATCCACCTTAAATGAAAGGATTACCTAAATATCTAATCTTTTCTGATACATTTTTAGAAAAGGAAAACAAGATTGTTTTTTGAGTTGCTTAGGTGTTGTACTGGGACCAAAGAGATTTAGATTCGAGTCTCCACCTAATCATGAAGATCACTGGATACCTGGAGTGAGTGCTGGTTGCTGAACTAGTGTTAATTTTGGTGTTAATCTCAGCTAAATGTCTTAAAATATAGCAAGCAGAGATTATCTGTAGACCAACTAATGCATTATCTAGACCAGGCATGTCAAACCAGGCATATGACGAAACCGCACCCACCCCATTGCCAGCAATGGGGAAAAAGTCAAGATATGTCGTGTGATGTCATGTGACATCGTGAGTTTGACATGCCTGATCTAGACAATCAAACATTAGACCAACAATCAAACAGTAAACAACAGCCTAATGAAGGAATCACCAAGAACACTGTACCAGCACTTGGGAGAACAAGCCACTTGTATATAAACAGACAGCAAACCTCACTCTTAGTACTAAAGATGTTATTTAATCAGATAATGAAACATTTGCAAGAAAACAACGAAGTTAAGAGAGCACCTAGGACCTCACAGATATATATACCCAACCCTCATGTTTTTTTATACCTTGTATACAGTAGTTCCTGGAACAGTACACAATTTTAAGATACTACTAGATTAATACGTACAGTGATTTATAAGTACTGTAAATTACTCAGTTAAATATTGCTTTGAACTAATAGAATCAAATATCAGTAGAACAATATTGTTACTTTTTATTCACAGCCTTTTTCATGAAGGATTAGGATAATTTATATTGAAAAGTAATCATAGTAGACTTGTTTATTGAAATCAGGGAAACAATCTTAGCCAAATATTCAGTGCATTTATAAATGAGTTGTTGTTTTTACTTTAAAAGCTGTTTTTGATTCAGATTTGTACTAAAACAGTGGTTCTCAACCTTTTTAATGCCGCGATCCCCAACCAGTCGTAAGTCGAGAACTACTCAACCGGTCGTAAGTCGAGGACTACTCAACTGTGCAGCATTGTTTGCAGAATGGGACTTTTGGACTCAGCAGGGCAGAGACAGCCTGGACAATTCCTATTGGCTTTTGAAAGCCAATAGAATTAGACTCTATTCAAGAGAGTCTATTCTATTGGCTTTCAAAAACCAATAGAATAAAAGGGAGTAGCACAGCTAAGGAAAAGGGGAAAAAAATGGCGGACTGCATTGTTTGGCGACCCCCGTGAAATGGTCGTTCAACCCCAAATGGGATCCCGACCCACAGGTTGAGAACCACTGTACTAAAAGGTATAGACAGAATTATTTTAAGTCTATATGCTACAAGTATCATAAGAAAGAACAGGTAATATTCTATAACTAGAAGAAAACAACTCCATGTTGTTTTAATTCCATGTTGACTAATACTATGTAAATAAGCTCATTAAAGTGATGTATGGAAAAATTAATACAGTATCCCCATTCTTATATAATTCTGTGCGCAAAAGGTGATAGCAATATGGTTGAAACTTTTAAAGACAATCTTAGCCTAAACTGTGACTCACCAATTTATATGTTCAGTAATATTGAAAAATGCATAGGAAGAAAGAAAACATAACAGCGTCTTTCCTTTTGCTATTGGTACTGAAGCACTAATGACCTATTGACTTTCAGGTACAACAATATATATGTGTGATTTTTCCAGATAAAAATCAAGCTTTGAGTATTAGAATAGCTATTGTTCCTAGCATTTGTCTACAGCACTTAACACTGTCTTGCTTAGCACCAGAAACTCTGGGCTCACTCGTGGTCATAAGTGAAGGACTATCATTGATAAAACACACTCATGCTTTATAAGAGTCTATTCTCTTGAATAATTAGACTCCAGTGATAATGAGATCAATTGCCACAGTTGATTCTAACTGCTTGGCGTTACTCAATGTAATCTGGGCAGTAGTCCAGTCATCAAGAAATAGTACAACTATAGGCAGCAGTGGTACAAAATGTTTAATGTATCTGCAATGTTGATACAACAACTCAACACATTTGCATAATTTTGGTTAGTTTTTCATTCTGAAAGCTTGGCAATTTTTCAAATTCAAGGCAGTTTTTTCATGCACAAGCATTGATTCAGTTGTTTTTTCATACATACATTAAAATTTTTCACCCCATCTATTCCAATCAGTTATGAGCTATAATAAAAACTTAACTGTTCTAGATCAACAACTTATTGGACCATACTGGATTTCACATACAAGCTTGTTAGTGTTAGTCTACATTATATTTCTCATTATGTTCTTAAAAGATATTAATTTCACAAGAGATAACATGCATTAAATTACTTTATCGGGTAGCTAGTACATGTCATTCGACAAAGCAGGAGCTATTTCATTTAAAAATTTAGCTCACCACATACGTTACCACAATAAACTTACCAATACAGGATTTTGAGTAATCGTGTGCTTCCCTATCCCATTTTTTTTTCAAAGCAAGTCTTACTGGAGGCACGTCATTTGTTTAAATTAGTAGTAGTCATACTGACAATAAAATTTCTGCACTTGAAGATAACCACATGTTGCAGCACACTATTAAACAATGTACAGAACTTCTTTGGCACAATAAAGCATTTCCTCATAGTCTTCAAAATCAGAGGTCCCTGTAAATATGAATGTTTTACACAAGATTGTATTAATATACTCAACCATTGCCAATAATGCTGGAAAATAAACTCTTACTAAATAGAATTGCACTTCAAAGTTTAAATTGCAAAGCTTCAAAAATTAAATAAAGTTTACTGTTATCATAGCTATTTGGCCCTCATTTTAAAATTTCATTACAGAATAAATAGCAAAAAATAGATTTGAATCAAAAAATTGCAAAATACTTAAAACATTTATATGAAAATCTAGTGTAACATTTTCTTAGAAGTTTTAGAATGAAC